GCTAGCTCTTCTTCACCTGACCTCTCTCACCATTTTCAATTTCATCGTCTACCGCCCGTTTTTTTACCCCATTTTACTTATCTTTATTTACCTTTACTAGCCCAAACAGATTTGGAGCTTACCACGGAGGAGTCGACACACCAAATGAATGTTGTCACCAACAGCCTGGTCTCTGAATGGCAGGACTCTGCCGAGTTCCAGCGGTGAGTGCGGGGGGAGAGGTTCATTTCTACTTACTCCACTCAAAAACAGGAAGAAATTAAAATTTACAACGAGTCTTCCCAGCTGTTGCGTGATTTCTCAGTAGCTAGGATCGTACGCATACCGCTAAAATGTTTACCGCTCACCAACGCCCAAAAGGCTACCCATAAAATAAACTTGAACATTTGAACTCAGCCGCCATCATCCAGCCTCCCTCTCGTGACGGCTTGCTGTATTCGCCGCTCGCCAAGTTCTGCGTGATACACCGTCAAAGGAGTTAGGCTGTTTTAATGAAAATCGAAAACGGCATCAATCTTCTGCAGCATTTGGGCGGGACATTTTCCCTGTTAACACCTACATCCGCCGTCGTTTATTTCGTTATTTCCCTCATATTTGCAAACAATAGTGAGTGTAGCTATTGCGGCACATTCTACAAAGGACGGAGTTTCAATAAACACGACAACTTCCATCCAGCGGGCTAGTACTCTTTATGTGAAACATCCGACTGGTCAAAGTCCACTGCTCCTATTGCCTACATGATTTAGCCTTTTTGTTCGAACACTTCCTCCCGAAGTAAATAAACTTGGTGAATAAACAGACCATTTCTAAGGCTCTAGGTTTGATTGCTGGCTAGTTTCCACTGCGCTCCCACCCACATACAGTAAATGAGTGGGCACTACGGACCTCAGTCACGGCCCCACGTGGGGGAAATGCCGATAAAGCTCTAGACAGAACTGGGCTAAAATACGTGTCGTCCAAAATTTGGCCAGCTCTTATTGGTCGGCTGGGTGTGATGGCTCGAGCCTTTCAAAAGGGCAGCCTGAGAGTGAGGAGTCTGATTTCCAATTGTAGGAGAGCTCGCCGCGGACAAGCCCCTAAAAGACCCCTCCACCTCCCCTTTTTCAGTGTCAACAACGAGCTGGTGTCCCCATACAGACACGAGGACTCGAGCGCCTCCGAACCCGTGAAGGCGCATCACGATCACGTCAGCTACTCGGCTCCCTTCGCCCGCCAAATGAGAGTCATCTGCTGGCGCACATTCCTCAACCTCATCCGCGACCCTCAGGCCTCCATAGTGCAGACCCTCGTTTACCTCTTCTTCGCCGTCTCCATGGGCGTAGTGTACTTCGGCCTCGACCGGTCCCTCGAGACGGGCCTGCAGAATAGAGCCGGCCTCTTTTTCTTTGCTACGCTTCAGGTGGTGTTCGTGAACATTGGGTCAATCGAACTCTTTCTGAAGGAGCGTGCTATATTCATGTGAGTCTTCTTGCCATGATCTTTCGTTGTGCGATTGTCAGTATTTTACCATACCTGGGCAGCATGATACATGTGCCTTATGGGCTCTCTGTCGAGCCCAACCAGCAGCCGCACAGCGGCGCATGATATAGGCAGAATGGCATTACCGACAAAGACAAGGGAGACTGGAATGGCCATTTCTGGCCACGGAACGAGTGAGTTCCGTAAGAACGATCGGTGACCGCCCCCCAACATTGTTTATTTCCGACCGAAACCGACGGGGCAACGGGCTCGTGGCCCACTGGTTAGAGGCGTGGACTTCTAACTAACAGGTCGGGAGTTCGAGCCTCGGGTGTTCCACACTTCGGGGTTAGGTATGACTGGCTGACGACGGCTAATAAGCCAGAAATGGCCATTCCAGTCTCCCTTGTCTTTGTCAGTAATGCCATTTTTAGGGGTTGACAATTTTTTCCTCATACCACTGTAACAGTTTGACATAATTTGATTCGTCTGCCTCATTGTCTTAGCTATTGTCCTAATGTTTTGAATGTTTTTAGAAGAACACGCTGACTGTCTGTGATTTCCATCGAAACTATTTGGACAGCAAGGAAATCAAAGCTTGCTTTATTCAAGTCCCCTGTTAAGATAAACCCAGGATTATTTTAAAAAAATGCGACATTCAAATGTCAAAAAGACTAGTTGGCGAGCCTACGTTTGCCCTCGATAGACTCGTATCAGGCCAGTACATTTACGTGGAAACGGAGCACAAGTAAAACATGTGAGTGATTAAAGAAATCGACCGAAGTTCGTCTTTTTACAGGAATGTGGCGTGGAAATATGAGAGTTAGGAAGAG